TGTTTGGTGAGGAAGAACCTTATGTCTTCAGTGCTGGTTATACCAAATGCTACGCATAATATTACTCCACCTAGATTATTGTGTGACACTCGATTGAAGTTTAGTTCTTTGCCAAGACAGTAGTGTAGTTTTCACTGAGGGACAACTTCCATGAGGTTTTCTATTTCTTGGTTTCAAATGTGGTCATCTGCATTAAATCCTTACTCAACGTTCAGTCATTTGGCCACAATTTCGAGCCCTAACGAAATAGCTCCATTAGCCCTCACGTGTGTCCCTTAGTTGTAGTTAGCCACTAGTTTGATAATTTACACAGGCGTAAGTATTGCCACTTTGTTGTTTAAGCCCCTTGCGAAGACTAAGTGTAGAAATTCGGACCCACTTAACGCAATGCTTAAAGAATATTTTCCTGTTGAAAGCTATTTTAGCTAGACTGGAACTTAGAGCACTCAATCCATTGAAGAACTAAGAAGAATAATGCAGCAGGACGACATGGAAATTTCTAATGAAGAAATTATCTCTGAAGAAGTAAGTCACATTTTTGACTTTCTTTAAGTATCCGAATTATATTACTGGTTGCAATATCATTTTTATCCTTTACGTTCCAAGCTTTAGATATGTTTTACTTCCGAAAAGTGTCGCAGGATGATCTGAACAATCTCAATTGTGCTATTTCTACTTACAGTTCAACTATCAGAAAGTCACTTTTAGCAAAATACTTCTAGGTAGCTTGTTCATTTAAATTTGGTTAATCATAAGGCACATTATGTGCGTGAGAATATTTTTGTCTTAATGATTAGCTCCGTCCAACCGATTTTGAGGTTGTATATTCGGAACTGGAGTCATTTGTTCAGAGGGTTTCTCCAATTAAATATAAGGTGAACTTATGGTATTTCTTTTCATCTAGGCAAAATGCCATCTAATTGATCCCGATAGTTGTTATATTTTGTATCACATTGACTTATAACCTTAACCACTATGCCACTGTCTTGTAAATACACTGCTGAATAAATTCCTGTGAACTTTACTAATCATAGGTACACAGTCTTTTTCACGATGCGTGTAAAGCAGGAAATATTCGCTTGTGCAGAACGCTGATAGAAACTGGACGAGCAGATGTAAATTTAATGGATAGCGTAAGTTATTCAATGTCGTATTTTTATTCAACTAAAAACTTCATATTATTCATGTTGTATGTAACTGGTGTTTATAACATGGTGTACAGTTGGAATGGGGAGCATTAAAACTAACAGACATAGAGAGAATCGGTGCATCTGTCTATAAGTACCATTAGGTCAAGGCTTGTGAAATGTAAGGTATCCGAATGAGAATGTCGGAGTTAAGCACCAAGGATTATGTGCGGTCTGTAAGTTAGTAGACATACCAGTGAACCTGTGATGGGTGCAAAACGTGTCACATGCTAGATCAGTATCTTTCTTTGCTCAGAATCTTTGCCAAAATTAGTCGGGTAAATTGGTGATCGAAGTCACCTCAGAAAGTGTAGGTTACATGATTAGGGTTGCTGTAAGCAGCTGAAAGTTTCCAAAAGCATGGTACAAAGTGACCCACGTATATTCGCTCTCGACATCTTGAGAACATCATTTGTTTGTTGCTTTGTTTCAATTCCTTGGCGATTGCACAATGCCCATTTGTTTTATTGAAATGTCTTTATTTCAAATATAATTATGCACTGTATTAGTGTTTTATATGTGTTGCGAGAATACTGTATTTATACTAGAAGCCTTAGATAAAATTTCCTATCAAATATTTGGAAGTCTGTTGAGATGAAAATCATTACTCATGCATAACGCTTTCACCTCATATCGCTTGACACCAGAGATCACCCACGGACTTAAACATCACAAAACAGAAATCCTTCGTACTTATAAGCAGGCGCGATCGCGTGGATTCTGCCGCAGAATTATGCTGCGGTGTTCACGTGGACTCAATTTTCGAAGAAGGAGACATGCTTCCCAGAAGCTATCTTGGCCAGCGAAATCTATTTCGAAATTGCCTGCACCAAATATCAAAAGTAACGTTGGTATCGGAGTTATCGTGGAATTCAGGAATGTTACTAGCGATTCTATCCAGTGAAGGGGCTGCTAAAACTAGAGTAGCATGTGACAATTTGATAGTTGAAGTTTTTCTATGCGCGAACAGACCGGTAATTGTCATTCGTTTCTCAAGGAGGCTGTCTGACTTCGATGAATCCAGCAGCTTCGTCTCCACCTTTCTATTTCCAAAAATTATCGCCTCATTAGAAACTGCGCGCACCTGCCTGACCACTGTGGTCATGGAAATCGTCTGTTTGCTACCAACAGTGTACAAGCATTAGGTGATTTCCCCACTGTTATTGAATGGTTGGAAGTGTCACCATACCAAAATATGTTTAGAAATATGTATCCACAAGATATGTCGATTAGCGCATGAAAACGATAATGGCCAGAAGTAGTAGACATTATTTTAAAAGGATGAAGTCAGTTGATAGAGTAGATATCGATTGCTATTTCCGAGTGTCCTCTGGAAGTTTATACTCCAACTATTTACCTCCATTTGGTAGACTTAAATGATGAGGTAATAACAGCTTTTTCTGTGTGGTTGGTTTTTAAAGTCATAATTGGGAATGAGTATGGATCTTAACAATCATCTCAGTACAAATAGTTTGGATTTTCCTGCACGACTAAATGTTACACATTAGTAGGAATCACCTTGGGATAGTTCGTGGTCGGTAAGCGACAAGGAAATACATCATTACAGTCGTAAAGAGTGTTTCTCTTAACCTAAAATACGAACATTTATTCAAGAAGAGCCAATGAAATGCGGTAAAATAATAACAAAATGATTGAATGTTTTGCTGTTGTAGTGTTGCAGCATATCATTACTCCTTAAATATTCAACCATAGGGTTTTATAAATTAAGGTATTAAATATTTAAGTATCGGTGGACAAATAACAATCTGTAGTGGTCCATTTGTGGTGTCATCCGCATTTCATCGCCTAGTAATCTTTATCCAAATTCCTGATAAACTAGATCATTCCGATGTGTTAGAGGCCAGGTCAGGGAATGCTTTGTAAAGTCAATATAACTTGTTGATAAGTCCTCTGTCACTGTTAGTTATTTGATTCTCAATGGTATCGTTGCAGTTTGCCTTTATAACATTTGGAAATATAATTGAGTGATTCAAATATTTCCTTATCAAGTTCCTTGTAAACCCCATGTTTATTTACTTGCTATCATTACTTCTGACGAGTGTATTCACCAAGTTGAATTGACGTTTCCTACTTTTTTGTGTAGTCAGGCCATACACCCCTTCACAAAAGCATCCTTTCCAAAAGCCTTCAAGTAACTTCATTACTTTTAAAATGTGGAGCAGAGGTGAATCAGTGTGATCGTGAGGTGAGTTTCGTGTAGTGCTACTTATGTTGCTCTTCTTCCGCATATCTCTGTGGGAGTTTGAACTTCGTAATGCCTAGATATTTTTCAAGTAGAGTAGTGAGTAGAACTTGAGCTGTACTATCTCATATAAGGAATGCTTAAGGCCATCAAGTACAGACTGTTGTCATTAATAATCGTTTTAGAATTGACGGATTGTCAGCTAATTTTTAAACCAAAGAGAACAAAATAACCCACTCGCGAATTTCGTGGGTTTACACAAATTCTTCGGGAAACATCATATATTATATGCTCTTCTCCGCAAAAATTTATACCATCATTACTGAAGAAAACAATCAACACATACGAATTACGGAACCTAAAGGAAAGGGAGTAAGAGCTTCTAAAACATTCTTTATATGAGCTTCGAAAATACCATTAACTTTTGATTTAGTTGTGTTGTAAATCAGAATCAGCTACAAATTTTCTCCATCATTTCAATACTATTAACTATTTAGAACTATGCTGACTCCAAGAAGGTGAAATCTCAGTGGTGTTTTGTGGTGAATAAGGCTGAGCGAGTATGATGTGTTTTTAGAGTGTTGTGTCGGCGACAGTTGATGTGAGAACTGCCACTGGAGGTCACCGAGACAGCCAAAGGTTAAGGCACTGACAAGAGGCGTTACAACGACTCGTACTGGGGTAAGTCGACTAACAGTGTAGACATCAGAAAGAATATTAGATAGCAGTAGATGAGTTTTCAACACACAACTTAGCACAAAAGTGCAGCAGTTCAAGTCGCCGCACATCATATAGCACACAAAGTTAATGGATTTGACTGTACTGGGGAAAGAAGTACACACTGGATAGCCAGAATTAAGTGACTCTGGTAGGTCATGAAGTGTGAATGCATCTACATCATTGAGGTCGGTTTCGAGTCATGTCAACGAAAGTCTCCATCCATTGATTCTTAGTGACTTGAGGACTTGGGCAGAGCAGTCTGTTTCTGCTCTCTCTCCCTAGGTGAGTCAATCAAACAGTTAAAGGGTTCATGGATTGAAACCAGGTTTTGATTTGACCACCCCTAACTCTTTACTAACCTAATTATATGTCAGCTAACATTGCTCATCGAGAAAGACGAAGGATTTTCATTCATATCACGTGTCTTCCTTGCCTAACTTTACTGCCGACCTCATTGCTTTTCTCCGTATTATACCACTTAACATGACGAATAGAGCACAAACACCTATGGTCAAAGACAGTTAGCCTCTTCAAGTCCTCCACTTTCAATGACCATGTCTCGGAGCCATAAAGGGAGACAGACCGAGTTGCTGCTTCTTAGAAACGACCTTCAATGCGTAGCCGGATACCACGTCAATGACAACATTAGTGGTTTGTGAATAACGTCGAACCATTAAAGTCAATATTGCAAGATGTATGTGTGAACAGATCGTCGATAGATTATAGTACAAAACACGTGTATGTGACAGTATGCATAAATTGAGAATTCGATTACAAAAGAGAATTATCATGAGTAAGAACGACTATACAGTAATGAGTAGTCCTGATCAGTGTTCACACTGAGTTTCATTTAGTCTGATTAGAAGCTCCACATGAGCAAGTGATAATATAAACAACAAAAAGAGAATATGCGAGAGAGGGTTATATGTGTGTGGAATAAAGTTATCGTTATTATTATTTTTGTGTAAATCAGCAATTCAATCCATAGAGCACCGGGCTGCTAAATCAGTAACCACTAGTTCGAATCATAGAGCAGATCAAGTTCTCGTTTCAGTTTCATTTACAAGTCTGTGAGACAAGGAATAACCAAATGGACAATATATTTGTCTTTTCTCACAATCACACCAATCAAAATGTTGTCATTTAAATAACCCCCATCTGTTTATGCTTGTTTCTAAAACAAAAAATATCTTTTTCTGTTTTCATTTCATAAACAACGGTATAAAAAGGGAAACACAGGTTTGCACTATGCCTCCTATAATGGTTTCTATAAGTTAGTCAAGTGTTTGTGCTACTTTGGAGCCAATCCGAATTCGCAGAACAAAGTGAGTGCCTTTATTAGTAATATTAATATTATCGTTGCACCAATTTTTGAGTAAAGAATTTAATGATCAATCACACTCAGTCAGTTAGTTAAGTTTAACGCTAAAAATGTGATAAAGATGGTGGTAATTTGAAATTGAAGATTAACACTACATGTGAAGATGGATATTGCAAGTACAGTGAGTGTAATATACTATTTGTTTATACATTTTCGTCTGATGTGTGTTTAGGCTGTTAAAAGGGTGCTGGTAGAAGATAGTGTTTAAGATTAGCAGTGGCAGTCCACTCTCTCATCACGAGGCTCTAGAAGACTCAAGACCAACAGAAAAATGGTATCAAGTTACCAGGATATTCTAGAGTGAGGAACGGGAGTTGGGCATTAAGTAAGTGCGCAGAAACAATAAATACATAAATAAGAAGCAAATAGTGCGTAAGAGTTCTAAATGATGATGACTAGAAGTGATCAGATTAATAGTAGTAGTGGTGAAGTTAATGTATCATAGCCAAATCCAAGGTGTTTAATAAGTTGTCCCTCAAGAACCAATCACATACAGGGACTGCTAGGAAAGGTCATTGCAAATCAAATCATGCTTGCATTTTTGGACTTCGAGGAGGTAGATAGAGTATTCCACTTATTCGCTGGATACTTCTTCTGTAAATCTATACTGTTAAGTAGGGTTATGACATTTTAAACTAAGGTTTAGTGTATAGGGTTAAGGTTAGGATTGGGATTATAGCGAGATTTAGGAGTGGGTTAAATTACATTGTCAGAAATATCAATGAATCTGTAAGTACCATGAAGTACAGTCACTGCATTAATGCATCTATCGCGTATGGTATGATTTCTTTATACATCATCTGTGTAGTGACAGGGAGACATTCTTACAAAGCATAAGTGACAAATTTGTGGTGTAATATCATGTTTGCAGTGATTTTTAGTGCATTTTTCAACGATTATGCAACTTTTCTGCATCTGAATTCTTATTGGTTTTTCGAAGTCACTGTGGTTTCGGCTATGATAGTTTAACTTTGCCCTAAAGGGTATGCAATGACATCATCAAAATTAACTGAAGTAACCGAATTGGAAAAATTGTCTACATGATAGGGAGAGCTTGATGAGCGTTTCTTTCTGAATACGCGAGTTTACTTTAAACCGTCTAATTGACATGCCTTAGTTGATACCTAGTAGAATGGGACTAACTTGTGCTTTAATTATCTTAAGTGATGTTAAAAAATCAATTCTGTGGTCACCATTCGCACCTCCTTGATAATCAGTTGATGACTTTGAAACCACGTAAGTGTGGTATTGACTTACACAACTAGGCACTTCCAACTACTTCTGTATGCTGGCCTGTTCAGGACGACGGGTATGCTACAGAATAAACTGTTTCGTCGCTGGATTATGATACAAATTAAAGATAACCTCTCATCATCAACCTACGTGAAATGTTAAGATGAGATGAATGGCAGACGTGTAACAATTATTGGTAGGCTGACGGTATGAGACGTCTTGCTAAGTCAGTCAAATGCGAAGGATAATGAGTGAGCCAATACTGATAACGATGAAAATAATAATAGCTTTATTCTGAAAGACGTGTTCATAGACAACACAGGATCTCTAGTGTGTTTCATCGTAAATTATTTACTTCTTGTGCATAATCGATAACACATCGTGTGAAGCAATATCGTCCCATTCGAAGCATGCTGCAATGTTATTCTCCCATTTCCTTTGAAAAACCCACAGTGGTGGATAAATACCAATTTGAAAATGTGTGTGAGCATAGATTGCGAATCACAGACGTAACTGGATAGTTAAAACAATACAAAGTGAAGTAAATACGATGCATTTTGGTGGATATAAACATTTAAGTAGCCCAGTGATTCAAGCAGACGAAATGTATTCATTCTAATGCATTTGAATAAATTGACTACGTGTCTTATGCCGTCAGCCTTTTAATACAACAAAGACGGTTTCACTAGAGTTTAACCCGGATAAGTAGTAGGTAGGGATCTCTGCAGTGCTAGAAGACAGTTTCTACTGTGCAATTATTATTATTAATTATTCCTTACCATCTGCCTGAACGACTGTCTGACTTGTAGAATATATCCAATCGATCATATTTTGGAGTTCATTTAATTAACAGTACCAATTGTCTGACGAAAGAATTCATTCTCAGTTTCATTCTCACAAAACTTTAAAGCGAGGAACAAATGCTAACAAAGTCGAATTTAATGCATTCATCAAATTTCGGCAGATTTCCTGAGCTAAATACTCTGTATACAGTGTTGTATATACACTGTGAGAAATAAACAATGATATATAACTAATAAACTACAGTGGATCAATCACGTGAAACGAAAGGTCAGAATATTTTACGGGTCAACCTGAGATAGATTGGATGTGGAAGTGGCGAGAGAAATGAAAAATTACGTCATCATAATACGCAAGTGGTTGTCAGAGCGAGAACTCGAAAATGCTAAAAGTCGCAAAATGAATAATAATAGTAATACTAATAGTAATAATGTTAATAGTGAAAATGTTGTAATGAGTTCAGTTAATGGTAGTGACAAAGGTGGTTTCGATTGGAACAGTAATAATAATAATAATAATATATGAAGTAAAGCAATGGTAATAGTAACAGTTAACAAGTGGAAGATATTAGCATGGTAGGTTCTAAGCAGTCACGTCGTTATTATTATTATTACGACTACTTTTTACTATTTTTCACTATTGTTACTACCATTATTCAGTTTGTAATCCCTAGCATTTTCAAGTTTTACCCCTGATGACTCATCATGTCTTATGGTAACTTATGTGAACTATAATCAACTATGGTTTCAATTTTTCATTTCTTATGTCCCTTTGATTTCCTATCAGTCTGAGCTTGACTGGCAAAACATTTTAAACTTACGTTCCACATGACTGATTCACTGTTTCAGAAGGTTGTATTGCGTAATGTGAGCTGTAATCTAGAAGGGAATGAATAGGTGGAGATGAAGAAAAAACGGAGGTTACAATCATGTAATAAGTGTGGAATATGACTAATCAGTCTAAATGTACAAAATGGATAAGAGGGTGGAGTGCTCACCTAAAATCTGCATCAGACAGGCAATGTTATCATTAGAGAATAAAAATGATAGTAATAATTGTAAAATAATTGCAGTAAACTAAAACACTAAACAACAAAACGAAAACTGTGGGAATAATGACACTCACATCATGGTATGGCGAGTGATTGTATGTAGTGCTTTTCAATACAGAGATCCGGTATCAGGTCCCGAATAGCCAGTGGTTCAGCCATGTATGAATGACTTATTTGGAGTCGTCATTATATTTCATAGTTATTACTACCACTATTATTGTTTATTAATAACACTACATTTCCGATACAATTTTATGGTAACACCTTATCGTATTTCCATTAGCTTTTGTCCATTTAAGTTGATTAGTCGTTTTCCACACCTATTACGTGATTGCAACATCCGTTTTTTCTTGACCTCCACATATCCATTCGCTTCTAGATTACAACTCACATATGTAATGCATAATATGTACATTTAGATATATATATATATATTTGCGTAGATTTAATTGACTTTGTGAATTCCTTGTTGAGTATAAGTGATTCTTCGAAAAGATAATTTCACTTGCTATTACGTCTTCTTTTGTTTATAAATCAATATGAGAATTTTCTGTTCATGATTCAGTGTAGTGAATTAGTCACACATTTCTCTACTCACTTCTCATAGTATATATAACCCTGTATGTCGAGTATTCAGATGAGGAGTCCTACTACAAGTAGATTCTGCTTCATTCGCATTTGTCGATTGTTTTAAATTAGTACAAGGAAATGAATTTTTCCAACACAAGAAATTGTTGAAGCGTAGGGGGAGATGGTGAAAAGGTGATGTTCTAGCGCTACTTTCTTTTCGGGTGCCATGGTGGCTTTTATTATTGAGCATGAAGACAAACTGAGGTTAAGATCTCACTGTGTGATTGTTCACATTCGAAATGTTAGTCCTGTTTCCAGCTGATTGTCTGCCAATTCTGTCTTATGCGTTGTGGATAATGCAAACTTCTACTTCATATTGTTGTGCCTAATTGATGATGGTACATCAATTACTTTTTAGATAAATTGGTTTATAAATTGCTGTTGAATGGCAACACAAGTGTTTCACTTGATAGTGTAAGTATCATAGATAACTGATGTCAATAATTTGATAAGTTTCTGTACAAAGCTTTACTCCTCACATCCAGGAAAACTATTGTCTCCATTAATGTTATGGGATGAATTTTTATTACTCAGTCTTTATTCATGTCTTGTAGAGGATTAACGGCATCACTTGACGTCCTATCGAAGATTCAAGCGCCTAATGCATGTTTGTCCTAGCATACTATCCTATTAGCGGAAATTCAGTAGTATGCGGATACTAATAAAAATAAGTAAACGTGTGCTTTCTATTTTTCGAATCTGACCATCTAATCATCCTGATCTGTAGTAGAGTTGAGAACTTCGATGGTGTGTCCCATGTAATGCCTCTGCATTGTACATAAATGTGCATCAGTAAAGTGTCTCGAGGCTCTCTTGAAACAAAACCTTGTTATACACTCTTTATGGTTGGAGGAAGGATGCGTAAATTCTTTCCATGCATCTGATACTCATGTCTTACATTATTAAGAGCTTTGTGAAAACAGAACTACACTGAGAGTATGGAAGGAAATTAGAAAACGTGGAGGAACTACTTTTCAATGGAGAACTGGTGATGTGGATTGTGTATGCATTCTGAAAAGAATCATATGAACTTTTACCAAGGTGTGACGGAATAGTTTGACAAATATCAGGTGCCCAGTAAAAGATCTATATGCATATACATTTCTGTATTTGCAAAACCTGAATGTTATAAAGAGTGATTCCGATAGGCAGAGTAAGAAATAAGTCGAAAATCCTCACGAAGAACTGGTTTGATACTATGAGGTTTCCTAAACAGAGAGCAACTTCGCAAGAAATAAAAATATCTTACACTTATCCCTAACAAGCGTTAACAATGTATTAGTGGAGGGAAACAATTGAAAGTGTGTTTATGAGTCTAAATGTGTCAATCTGATGCTGTGTATAGGAGGAAACATCCAGACGAGTGGATAAGAGAGTAAAACAACATGAATGTTGCTCTAGTATAATTTCCGAGACCCCAGATACTTAGTGACTCTAATGCAGGGCTCTGCAGGAAAGACTTTGCGCCACATGCAAGATTGAATACCAAGGATGAACATATATGGGTTTATCCAAATTCTGGTTGTAAGCTTTGTTACTGTCACCTTCGATAATTCATATTTGATCATTTTCCTCCGGAAGATAACTTAAAACTTTGGAAATAATAATTAAACCATACTGAAACTCTGCAAACATGTCTTGAGTATTATGACAAAAGAGTCAACATCGAATAAGATACGAAAGTGATGAAGTCTTGAGCGCACAAAGCTTAAATTGTAGCACGAATATATATATCTTCGTAAAACATAGCTTGTCAGGCCTTCCTAACCTATGAGCTTTTTAAAACAGCTTTCCAACATCATATTCTTGGCTATTAACGAGTATGTAATGGAGAATTAAGCTACTGAAAACGTCCTACAAGTTTTCTACAAACTTTTCCTTCTGTTCTTCAGTGGATTTGATCTGCATGGTTAAGTGAGCTGCTAGATTCATTTGATGCTAGAAGACGGGCATAACTCGTTCCAGTCATTCCTTTTATCGGCGTCAAAACAATGAGCTGGGTGACCGAGTACAACCAGCCTCAGTTATGCAAGACATATCATATGGATCTCTTTAGTCGGTCACTTGTGTGGCAGACAATAATCGGTGAATAATTTGACAGTTCTCGAAAAAATTACTCGTCATCGTTTGGTGTTGCATTCTAGCTTTCTAAAAGCGTTTTGAGGTTAGGCACTGTTCCAATAGCATATTACTTAAATTATTTCAAAAGATCAGTCATAACCACAACGTTAGCTGTGTTCAAAATCATTTCCTGTTGTTCTTTTCATTTTAAAAGGATGGTACCACCCCATTGCATTTAGCTGCGCGATATGGGTATCAGAAGTCTTGTCAGATCCTTGTGTGTTGTGGAAGCGATATCAATGTTCAGGATCGAGTAAGTTGAAGCCAAGCAATTAAATGATTTTTAAAATATATTTGAATACTCAGGTAAACATTAAATGAAGATAACCCGCTGTCCAAAGTCAAATGGCTTAATGACTTTTCAAGTTGCACAGTAATTTATATTTGTTAGTTGTTTATTTTGCGTAGTAGTTGTGGCGGTGGTGGGGGGGGGAAGGCGAGTGGTTGTACAGTGTAACTACTTTGAAGGCAGTTCATACAAACTGACAACACCTGTAGATGCAATAAGAAACAACAAGCACTTATAGGCTATCTCAGTTGATGCACTAGATTTTAAACAATAGGAATTCTGAATTCTCTGCCCGAAATGCGAGCAGTTGAGTGTGTGAGTGATTGGGTAAGCGAGTAGTAAGTTCTCACTGCGTTCGACCACCGGTGGGTGCTGAAGAGTCCCAAGCCGGGACGAAATAGATGTCTAGTACTCTCAGTTGGTCTTCCAATAGTTCTCTAATCGATGTCAGCTCATGATCAAATCATGAAACCAATCAAATCCCCACAACCCAACACTTGAATGGAAATCATATTTGTAGGACAAACTAAGTCGATAGCGAAACAGAAAAGAGGGTCTGAACCAAGCTTTCCAAAAGTGAAATAATATTGATGGAACCAAGTTATTACTGGATATAAGTTGTGTGGTAGTCACTGAATACATATCAAATCATCATAACATGCTACAGAACGACTTTTTGAAATTCTAATACACCACTTCCTTCTGGGGTCCGTGCTAAAAATATTGGCTAGAGTAACAGCGAAAGTATCATGATTATACTATTCTGTTCAGGTAACGCATCACCACTGAAGTGAGTTGAACCTTGTTGCCACGATCCCGGAGGGGATTGGTTCGCACTGAATGAGAACTTTTGATATTGCCACTAACGCAATGATAGCCATCTCCTCAGTGAGCCTTTGATTGTCATCTGGGTGAGCGGAGGAGAATATTGACCTTCCAGTCAACAATTTTTAGAGTCTACTTCCAGTCTACCTGGCCTTACACTAACACTCACACACCATGTCTTATGATTTCCACATGCGACCTCGGCATTATTGTTATTAGCCTGAAGCATGGTGAGGACATTGCACGTCGACATGCTTACTTTCGCTTTCATCGAAAGAAGACTTGCCGGCGGACTGACTTCCCGAAGGCTTCCACAAACTTGCGTCATCCGTCGACGAATTGAGGAGTGGTTTCGATTCCAGTGGAGTATAAGTCTACATTTCGTGTGCTTTACAGTTTCAGTGGTGATGAGGGTGTGTTATTGTGCTGTGAGGTTGCTAGCCCCATACTCAGCCTACCTCTTTTCTGGACCTAGGACCGACTAGTAAACAAGGTGAAGTTATGAAACAGCAGTTCAATCAGATTTTCTCATTTATGAATATAAAAAATATTTTAATTTTGTATAAACTCAACTCTGTCGTGAGAATTCCATCTGTTCTTCCTATCGTCGTGAAGAATGCCTAAGCAATCAGTCCTGTTGTCATTAATTTGTTTTTGTGAGTTTCCCAAATGGTCATAGACGAGTATCGACATTAGAGAATTATATTGCACCAAGTTTTGAGTCGCTTTGTAGACTTTATCGATTGACTTCAGTCGACACGAGGAGTCTGTGTTCTGAGACACTCATCAAGTGATAGTGAATTTCCCTATGGTCTCGCTCGATATCATGAATTTATGTTTACTTTACTCTACTAATTACAGATTTAGTCCTCAATAGCTGTTTTAAGTTCACTATGGGTTTAATTGAAAGATATTATACTAGTATATTTTGTATTTGATCATCCTCTTTTTCGACGATTCGATCTACACTCTAGCATGGTGTGGAATGATAAAACTCTTGACTATTATTTTTGTGCTACAATTATTGTAAGGTGACATACTTCACTCAACCACTGAAATAGAAAATGGATAATTCATATGCATATGCATATATATGTGAAAAAGCTGTAATACACCTTGTAGCCTAACCTGATGAATTCATTGGAAGATTTTATATTCTGTTTACTAAGCAAATGGGTAAGCCCTTGTATCGATTATAATCCTACGTGTTTACATCGCACATGCGTTTGAATGTGCTAGAGTATGCAATTAAAAATTATTCACTGTGTCCCAAGACTTACGAAATCGTTTATTAATAACTCTGCTAATCTCTCTTAGTCTAAGTGTGTATTCCGACTGACTAATGAAGTGTCAGGATTTAGACAATACCTTAATTACAAAAAAATGACCGAAAGCTTCGTAATTGTCTGTAGGTTGTCAGTTTGTGTAGATTGAGGTGTACACAGCATTGGATTTGTAAGTCCATTATTTCTTGTACCTGTCCAGTAAGTAAGATGAATGGTGTGAATTAGTTAAAAGAGAATAGTTCTAGAATGAAATGGTCTTTAATACTTTTCGTTCATTCTATCTTTGAAAGCACAGCAAGAAAATAAACTTCTCGCCAAATGAATGAATATGCACAATCAGCAATACATCAGATTTTAGATTTGCGCGTTGGTGTCTTCACAAACTGGTATCAGCTGGAAGAACTGTCGAAAATCAAGAAGTACTGTAAAGTTGATTTCAGAAGTGGCTAGGGTGCGTCTTCAGCATGTCAGTTTACCGACATCTCTGGTCAACAGTGTTTACTTTAGTAGAATTAGTTTGGAAAATAAGTAGGGTTTTTTAAGTCAAAATATAGTGAGAATTCATTACGTCTGTGACTGTTGAGCTGAGCCACGCAGATTGTGTGACTGAGGTCCTCAGGGAACTTAGAGACTGGAATCCTTTCACGATTGTGCAGATGTATTCACTCTTTGTCATTATAATCAAAGAATTTTGTATTTCCCATAGAATGGAAAAAAACGCTACTTAATGCTAATAGCTTTATCAAAGTATTTATCAAACCAGAATTTACAAAACCTCAGCGTATATATAACAACTAAGTCATCGTCCATCAGCATGGGGTCATTTTTGCGTTGTCAAGTTGGCCAATTGGTAAAGATAACAAAACCAGGTGTACATTGTTGGATTTGATAAGTGTATGAAATTATAAAAGCAGCGTGTGTTCACATAATGAAATTTCTTATCACATTCGTGTTGATTTTGTCACTTCATGTGGGAGGAAGGTGTTGTGACTAGGTCAAATTCTGTTTTATACCATCATTCCTATTCAGACAATTTGGATTCCACTCGATATGAAGTGCTTCTGATATTAGACGTTCTTTATGACTTTTGAAATTTTTCCGGATGATGATTTCAATATTGTCAAAATCAATTTTGTGACCTGATTCTATGACGTATAGACCACCTATGGCTGATGATTTTTCAGGCTTTTCTAGTTCAACTGGATTTCTCAGTGGTTGATTAGATGCTCCACGGTGTTCATTTCTTCTGATTTTGATTTCCCTCTGGCGATTTTTGTCCGACGTATATTGCATCACATTCCAAGCATATTATTATTTCGTAGACACAAGGTTGCTTTGTAGTGTGTGAGTCTGATGCTTTGAAGAAAACTCTGACGTCGTGCTTATTGATTACTCCTCTGATATCGTCTGACGTCTCTGATCTATATGGAATAACGACTGTTGAGGCCCATGTCTTCGGAACACGTCTTCGACCGTACTTAGTGTAAGTGTTGACTTTGTTGATGAAGGTCTTTGAGTAGTTATTTTGCTTGAGAGTCTCAGTAATGTTTGATATTTTTTTCCCTTTCCTTCCCATCCGTTATTGAAGGCTGCGCTCGTCTAAGAAGACTTGAAGCGACTGATGACTTTGCGCTGATGGGGTGTGATGATCCGAAGTCTAAATATTCGTTGGAGTGGGTTTTCTGCCTGGATATAGATATATTAAAATATCCGTTTTCCCTCCTCTTAACTAGGCAGTCTAGAAATGGTAGTTCACCGACGTCTGATTCTGCTTCCGAAGTAGACTGAATTCTGGGAGATGGATTGTCCAGTTTCTCCAAGAATAAAATGTGCAGATCTCGTTTTAGCACTACGAAAGTATCATCAACGTATCTTAACTACATTTTGGGCTTGCGTATGCTTGAAAAGATGTTATCTTCGAATCTATTCATAAAGAGATCAGCAACTATTATCATCTTTGTTTATTATCTTTAAAATTGTGAGCACTTTCTTTTCCTTCTGTCCTGATTGATTAACAGGGAGGTATAGGGAGAACAGTGGTTCACCCTGCTAATTAGGAGTACTGCACTTCGTAGACACTTAATTAAGTCTGCGAACTTTCGAAAGGTATGTTGAAAACCATTTTGAGTTAAGGAATGTCAAGGAAATGCAAGAGCGAATAAATTCAGTTTCAACTGCTGAGTTTATGAACTACTGAAAAGTCATGAATTAAAGCAGGACTACATGGCCATACACTGTTTAGTATTCAGTTGACGATCAACTACAGATTTCACTATATAAGCCTCAGTGCATGTTGTTGACGCTGCTCACCGTATAGTGGAGGACTTGCGAGCAGGATCCAGTCCTATATAGCATGAGAATAACTGCAAACTGAGTAACTTGCTGATGAATGATGTCGATCAGAGTCCTTATGAAGGCACACGTTTCCTTACTGATATCTCTTGTGAATGGATATTAAAAGGGTACAATTAAAAAAACTTCTGCTAACAACTTTATATACCCAACTATTGGCTAACTTCCAAGTTGTTTTTATCTCTTTCACCACTCATGGTCCCTAAAATGTAACACTTTTCTCTGCTTAAATCCATAGGTAGGTCAAACACCATTGCACGTTGCAGCACTTCACAATCAGAGGCGTATTGTGACGATGCTGTTAAATTTCCACGCTAGGATTGATATAGTAGACGCTATATTAGATAATCCGATGCATATTGCAGTATCAATGGGACATGCTGACATCGTGAAGCAATTATTACGAGCCAATAAAGATAGATTGGAACTGGACTGTTTTTCTCGTGATACTAGTAGACCGAATGAGAATGTAGATATACGTTCGATGACTAATGCTCAAAATGAAAAACCATTCGATATCGCCTTGTGCCAACGCTGCCCTGAAATCTTAAGGATAATGGCGTCAGATTTCACGGAAAAGCATGAAGTATCACGATATTCATATCATCGTCTGCATCCTGCTCGATTGGCATTGGAAGATATTGAAAATCTTCGAGGAAATTCAATGAATGGAGCAAACAATGACATGATCACAAGTCTCTCAAACTATAACGGTGGCGATGATACAACATCGTCTGAGGAGGACCTACCAAAAATGATGCGCAAACGGGGATACTCAGATAATAAGAATTTGGTGAGTCTTTCTTCCGCTTCAATTATACAACCGCTATTTTGATTCATTTCAATGTATTTCGTCTTTCTAACAGTGAACCTCAATATGTCAGTAGCATAGAAAAGTATGATGCATGAATTAGGCATACAAACTAAGACTTTCCGTCACCTGTTACACGCCTGCATGAGTTCAGTTACAGTGTCTTGATTAGTAAGTATAGTGTAAATTCTTGCCGCCCCTTTCACGACTAGACATTGGCGTAATTCCCACAAAGTCGATGCAGTTAAATTCCCCCTTCACTTCAAGAAGTATTGCAGGTGTTGCACGCCTGTAAGTATTCCTATCTGTCGATACGTAATGATATGATAAATAGACACTCTTCCTTGACTTGGGTTTTGGCTTAATAGTTCTAAGGTCAATCGCCTCTGCTATATGCAGTAGACGAACACAGAGTCTCCATAATGGATAAGATTTTATTTTGATAAATCACACAGCGCTTCGGATGGTTTTTGTCTGTCCTTTACCAAACCATGATGGGAGATGTTCAGTAACACGTAGGCTAACCAGTCTAGTAGTAGCTTACATCTTAGTGGCTCTCACTGTTTTTCATATTCAGAGGCCACCAGAATGAGTCTTGATGGGCCTTTCAGTTTGGATGAAGTAGCAAAATTTCACAGACGCTTACTAACCTCTGGTTTCTGGTTTCCAACTGCGTTGAACACTATTACTACGGAGGACTCTATATCGTGACAGTCTTCGTCAGGCCTAGTTATGCTGTTAGTCTCAGATACGCGTCTGTCACCTTCCTCTCTAAATGGTGACTTAGTGTTCTCATGAAGTTGGGGAGGTGTCATTTTCATAGAAGCCCCTTTCCCATGTCCATTCAGTCGTAGTTTTTTGTACTTGCGTAAGCGTCAGATTTCTTGTTGACGCAACATTTGACCTGCCGATAGTGCCACTTATTCTTATCTGTTTGATAAATTTGATGAATATCCGCATAGGTTTTAATTGCAAATTAGTCTTCTAGGGATTCTCTGGCATTTTTCGTTTTTCTTCTGTGCGAGAGCTATTCTCAGTCAGACGGTACTTGGTGAGATTTTACACCTTCCAGTAATGCATCAGTCTTGGTGTAGAATACACGTGTATATGAGGCTGCTACTTTCTAAATGCTCCGAGTCCGCCTTGCTAACGAATGCTCGTCTCTAACTAAGCCCGACATATTTCCGCCATCGGAAAATGTCTCTTCTATGCTGCGTGACCTCAGATGATTCAGTTTTCTCAGTGATATTCTACTTTGTTTGTTACAAGATAACATCATTTCTAGGCGAATACTACCCATACTTCCCTGTAGTCGTTTCAAACAGATTTTATAATACACATTAATATATGTGCTCTGATGGTAGACATTCAATTTGTGTTTCTCTGTTGACTGGAGCTTTTTGTGATGTATCGACACCATGCACTAATTACTGATGGATAATCTTAGACTTTAATTGAGGAAAGCTGATTCCAGTATTACTACTACTGCTTCTACCACTACCATTAACAATCATAATTGTATTATTGCTGTTACTGATACTTCAAATATGGAAAAGTATTTCGTCTAACACAAGTCAGCCGGCGGTCAACTATACGGCTTACTTGTGCTCTTAATTACCGTTGATATTATTACTACTATTATAATTATTATTATTATTAACTCCTTAGGTTCCTAGTGAATCATAAGGAGTCAGTAACACATCTCCATTCTATTGATAGTATTTCATGACTATAAATTACCCAGAGTTGAAGAACAAAGAAGACTGAGATATTTCGGCCATCGTTTACCTTGGAAGTCTTGGTCGTAAACGAAGGAAAGTGACTGAGAAATGGTGCATTTAGAAGTGTACAGCACTGACCAATATATACACGTTATGAAATGAGGTGGTCAACATTAAATGTTGAAGATGCACATGAATTAATCCCCGGTTGATAAGCAATCCGCTTTTCTAGTGTGTCCACTCAAATTTATCGATCAAAAATGCAATGTGGTCACTAAGTAATGTGGCATAACACTAATGTACATTGAAATATTTTGGCATTAGTCCTTAGGAGTTGATGCGTGAGAAGTCCAACACATAGATCTTGTTTTTATTGGTACTCTTCAGGAAGACGTGCTAAGGGATCTTGTGGCGTATGAGATTCGAGAAAGTGTAAGTCAGTGCCGAAAATGATTCGTTCGTCTTGTTTAGACCGCCAAACAGTTTGGACAACTGAAATACAGACTAAGAAATCATACATGTATGCAGAGTGATCAACAAAAGTAGAGAGGGAAGTGAGAAGTGTTTACCCATTTCACCAATATAGTCTCTATAATATTCTATTAAATAGCGAGCAGCCTCACTATATTGTTTTCTCTTGTGACTACCTGGAAAGCTCTTCCGTTCTGTATGCACCTCAGAATTGGGCAGATATCCGACACAAGTGTTCTAGCTTTTCGCTAGAAATGCAGCAGGTATCTTTTCTGCTTATACTTGTGCGACTAATTTCACCCGTACACCAATGTTTCTGCAGATTTGCCGGTATAAGATAGTCAAATATCTCTTATTTCCTGTCTATCTATTAGTGCCACATCACATATGTAGAAAAGAAAATTTCATTCTGTTCTGCACTATAAAGACTGGTACATCGTAAGCACCTCATTCATTCTCTAGTCTCATTCAAATTTCCACCTAACTGCATGACCTTATGTACAGTCTACATATAGCATGTAAATATTGCACTGTCAGTCTATGCATGGTAGAAGTTTATTAACTGTTTAATCGGGCAGTGGAAATTTAGAGAAATCATTGTGTTAAGTGAGTAGGTTTGCTAGTATTTGATTGGTTTCATGCTAAATTTAGTTGTGAACCGATATCATCTAGAGAGATCATTAAAATGGATAGTTGTACAGTGTTTAAGGGGGTCTATTTATCTGTGGTGCAGAGGCGAAACCTTGCTACTGACCGAGCACAGGACCTCCAGGTCGAGAGGTGAGTATATTGCTATTCAGCTATTAGGCTTAAATTGATTGGACAATGATTTTCAACCTTTTCGCGATGCATAATCTACTTTCGTTTCCGACAAACGCCTTTTGAACCTAGACAATCTTAAACATTTTGTTCAAACAGTTTCTCAGTAGATTTACTCTGAAGTCGTGCTGATACTCACTGCTCATACTTCTTATTCCGCTTTCCTTACAGAAATACAAATATATTCATAGTAACTTAAACGAGACAACACCTCCCTCAAACACTGCCGATTCATCACCGGATGAAGATTTCGAAAAGGATAAGGTATTGTTTAATTTATAAAGATGAATAGGCGTGAATTACATGCTTTGTTACAATTATCACAATAATAATTAATTAATGAAAATGAAGTATGAACACTATATGAATTTACGCTTCACTTAATTTAAGGCTTCTAGTTGATATGCAGTGGAAATGAAATAAGGCTGATGCAGACGAGAATATATATATATATATTCAGGGGTTGTGTGCATGTAATATTGTCTGCTTTTATCTCTTAAAGAAAACGTGTCCTTATCAATATGAACCGTAGACACGTCACACGGGTTTAGCTGATGTTTTCCTGAACAATAATTTCATATCCATTGTATTTAGACATTGACACACTTGAATTTACCTAAATGAAGTGTTTGGTGTTGTTTCGTCGGATTGAAATGTTTGTATTTTTGTGGAAGTGGATAAACAGGGGAGCAGAGGATACTTGTTCAATCTATAGATTTGCCAGTTACTACTAGTCAAAGTAAGTAATAATAGTAAACTGACTGAAATGTAGTGAAGTGATAAAATATTCCCAAATCTCCTGTTGTCAGTATATGTAATTGCATTGGAATTGATGAGTTCATATCAGTATACCGGCTTTGTTTACACGAGTCGCATTCTGGTTAATGGTTATCAGGAAAACCTTACAAAGTGAATTGACAACCCGGTGTATGCAATGCACGAAACTCGTTGTGTGACAGATTGTGAATTCAACCAATTATTTGGGGAAAATAGATAAGATGGAATTTAAATCCCGAACCAATTTGTTGACAGTCAAACCAATCAGCTACCCTGAGACTGAAATCTGTGATACAGATTTTATGGTGTAACTTAATCGGATGTACTGAGACATTCATGTGTATATTAGTGTTTCCACAGCAAATCTGTTGACACGAAATGCATATTTTCCGGGGTTTTCTTTTAAAAAGCTACGTTAGGGAACTTTTACATTTAAAAGTCTGGCGATATGTTAAGCTTAAAGTTACATGAAACACTTCATTGGAGAACCATTGAAGAACCAATTGTCGCAAAGTGGTCAACAATACTATTCTACCTATCTAGTTAGTGTGCACTCGGTTTTCTTTCTATGTTTAATTTTAACACTTTCTCCAGTTAAACGAATCACCTAGGGAGAGTATCCATGACGAAGCAATAATATCAACTGGGGCACGTTTCAAGCCGTCTTGCAATGTGAGCTCGCGCAATGTCGATAACGAATGTAATTCTTTAACTCCAAATGAATCATCTACATCGAATTCTCCACCGAAAGGAAATACTAAATCGAACTTCTTCAGTCGACTCCTTTCAAAAATATTCAAACGTAAAAAGGTGAGTCAGTGAAACAATAGTATTTCTCTGTGTTCTCCCCTTTCTCATTCTTTTGGAAGCAATCTGTCTTCCTGCATGTTCGTCAAACATTACTACACACAAAGATTTGAAGCCAATTTAAGAGAAAGTCTACGGTCTGCTTAAATGCAAGTCTATCCTTAGGTTAACAATAAGGCCAATAGAGTGTAACCTTTCATACCACGTAGCTTGAAGGAGACTTCTAGCAATTATTCTTTTTGTATTTCCTACCGAAATAAATAAGTGATTACAAAAAATTTATTTGTAGACAGGGAATTCGACGGAAAGTGGTTCACAGAAATTCACCAGTTCATTTCGCGAAACTACATAACAGCGCACCACCACATATATAAAAATGGAACTTCCTACTTCATAGGAAGTCCTTCTGTCCATTTCTCAGCCTTTCCCTCGTATCTTTGTTCTGTACCCATTAAACGACAATAGAATACCTAGTTGTTCAAATCCCGGCTGCAAAATCCACATTGGAGCTCCATTGGGTCAAGCGTTAGGTACTTTTATTCTGCGCCTTAAATGCATTTGAATCTTTACGAAATGCATACAAGACTCAAGCGGGATTTTTGATTCCACGTGAACTGTACAACAGTCCCGGTCTACAAAATTCATGCAGCAGCTATCGATAATTTCTTTTTGTAGTCTTCTAGAAGTTGTCGGCGAAAAGTCTTGAGATCTATTTGTATTCCCACAGATAATCATCTGCAGCTAAGTGGTTTCGAGAAAATAGGCGAAGGCTGTGGTGATCTTTGATGCCTTTTTGTAATCCTCGCTCACGAAACGAGGAGTCTGAGTGTTCCTATCCCGGACTACAAAACGTGAGACGCTCACAAGTAATCTTAGCAAGTGGCTTTTGTGTTCAGTAAGGAGACTGAGCTTGTCGGGGGAACATATTGAAGTTATCCACGGTCTCAAGTGTCAATGAAATAACCCTAACCACGGTTATTATGTCTAAGAATTTAGTCTAGATAATTACTAATTTCCGACCAGCATTAACCTCAAGCAAAATGGAAGATATTGTTTTACATGATAACTACTTATATGAAGCTGACATTGAACTGAAACAGACCGCTAGGCTACAAGATGTGGGTGCAGACAACCGGTTAATGACCTCTGATCCTTTCGTAACATCCATGTGTTATTTTATGCACATCTGTGTGTGCATCTGAATGAAGGTGAAACCGAATTAACACACCAAAGGTCCAACATTTTCAGATATCTCATGAAATTATCATGTTTGTGTTTTGGAACCAGGGGACCTAACGTTGCAGAAATAGTGGTGAAGACAGTTAGTGATAAGCAGAATCCAAGGGTTCCCCGAGCCCAGTAGAGGTGTGCAGTGTCATCTAGACTGATGTATACAGGCAGAAAACTTTCGGTGGGCCCTAAAAATGTTGAGAAGTGGAAAATGACTGAATGAAATTACTGCGAACGATGTTGTGTGACTAGACGAGATATATAAGACTTATAAGAGACATATAAGGCTTAATAACAGAAACTTCTAATGAGAACAAAACTATATTAACTTTTCTGAAGACAGTGCTGAAGCGTTTTGGAGTGCATTACGAGAAGTAGCTACAGTGGTCTACAGCTGCTGATCAGTAGTCGAGATCGTGAGGCTGTTTCAAACGACAAATGAAGCAACGACGAAAGACCTGAGAATTGCATGCATGTTTCGAAACTGTAGTGACGAAATACAGGCGAGATTAAATAAGACAATGTTTAATGCATTGGAATGCAGCATAATTCCCTCGGACTGTTGTAGACGGTGGAACATTTGGGTTCATAAGAAAGAGAACAAACCACCCACCCACCAAGCATAAGTCTGAGTGTCTGCATTAAATTTTATATCCCAGCAAATTTCACTTCTCTGCACTTCTTTGGCTTCTTGTAACCCATGATTTGGTCTGGTGTTCTCAGCTTTCTCATGAGTCCACCTTACTTTAAAATCACTCGCTGAGGTATACTGTATCAGAATATGTAACAAATAATCCAATCATCAGTCAGTCCAGGTTCTCAAACTCACCGACTAACTTACCTTCCTCACCACCTAGTTTTCAGTTTAGCCTCAATATTGTCCCTGCTGTGAATCTGTCCAGCTGTGTAAATGCTTTCCAAGCAATGATCAACCTCCTGTCATATTGCTAGATGCAAACTTATAAATTATAACCATACAGGATAGAGCATTAAGCTATTTGTATTCGTTATCTACGATCATTCGTTTTTCATCACATTGATTTCTAATATTCTAATCTCTGACAAAGTGATATTAATTGTGTTTGATGCTGAACGCTAATGAAATCGATTCTTGCCATCTCTGTTTTAGAAATCGTCAGCCAAATGAAGATGGTTTACTCTCACAATGGCATGGCTGAGATCGACTTCAAGCAACAGATTAGGCTGCGATTGATAGATCCTGCTCTTTATATCGTGTCTGACAGTTCTTATTTTTTATGCTTTGTTCATTAGACTCACGTTTTTTTCATAAATAAACTCTTCAACACACTAGTATAGGCTTTTCACACCTTTTAGATCGGTTGATAAACTCATAATATACAAGGAGGTGAACTTTCTGGAAAATACAGTTGTCAGACATAAAACGAAAATTACAAATCAGTGTCAAAAAGAAGTTCACAGATAACAGTGTCGTAACAGAGCCAGGAAGCGAGAAAATGTACGCATTACTGGAATTTATAGACGTCAAGCTGAGAAATCGAAAACACGATATCGATTGACACCTAACAGCTTATCCAAATCATCCCTCACATCACGAAAATGGAAGTCAAAGCTGTACACACATGCTCTAACTTATTTCCCACGACTTGAAAAGTATACGATAATTTTTCAATATTAGAAATGTGCAATGCCGCTAGACACATACATGTCGCGTTCACCAACAGAATAACATACATATCTATGCTAATGACACTTCCCGACATTAAAGTGCTGGTCAGGCTTGCATGTTACAGTGAACCAACGACTTGATATGCCGGGAACTAATGCTTCTACTGAATTATTATGCTAGCGAATTTCAATAACCATGTTTCACAGGTGTAGAGACGTTTAGAGGAAAATGTCGCACAGCACACCTCCTTCAATGCATAGTTAGATGTCACACCAACAACAGAGATAACGCAAGTTGGGGAATGTAATACTAGCCTCGACTTAGAATACAGTGCATCAGTCGGCGCGTTATACTATCTCAGTGATCTCTTTGCCATTCAAAATATTTCAGACATAAAGCCTAACTAGTTAACAGTCAAAGTAATGTAACAAGGAACAGTTTCATCGACATAGAGTATGTGGATGACAATTTCCTTCTAGGTGAAGACTCTGACAAAATACAATCCTCCCAACAACTTGAGCAGAAATCTTCGAGTCTTTGGAATGGTATTCGCCCCTGGCAGATGTAAGATGGAGCCGTTGTACTGATCTACGCCGACTCATGGCTTGAAGATAGGAAGTTAAGTGGTAGAACGTGTTGACCGCTTCACCTATTTGAGAAGTTGAATCAGCCCCAACGAGCTGATTGGTGACAACACCTCAGCATAGATGCAGAATGCTCGTGTGGTGTTTCCCCACTCAACTCATCTCTAGCGTAGGTGTGATATCCGCCTACCGATCAAGGGATGTATGCACTGTGCAGAAATCCGCTCTGTCCTCCTTTATGGCTGAGACACATGCCCGATGAGAGTGCAAAACCTGAAGACAATAGTTGTCGTTGATCACATATGTTTGCGTCCTATCTCCCGTGTGAAGTGGTCTCATATGGTAGGTAATATTGGGCTTGGGCGTAGTGTTAGATAAAAAGGACAAGTCAATCAATGAGGTGGTGAAGTTGAATTGAGATGTATAGGACACGTATTGAGCATCCCGAGCCATCGCCTTGCTTGACAGGCAATGTTAGCCCATATAGCATTAAGTTAGAAAAGCTCCGGGATTGGTCAAACCGAATTCTGATACAAGTCAATGAGGTCTTCGATAGTTGGTTTGAGTCGCGTAGTGAGCCATAGGCTGTTTGTCGGGTTGGCATCCTGAAGATGTTAAGAATGAATGGCTTGAGAATATTTGTGACATAGCTCGTAATCGTTGTCAGTGGCGCGGATGCATTCATTTTTTATCTATTCCTTTGAATAACTGCTTTTCTCTCGTTTGTCTACCTCTGTGTATCGCAACTTGAAACGCTTTACTTCCTTGAAAAGCTCTGTTATTATTCAGACAGACAGTCAAATATGGTGAGTGACACTATTCGCGGACTAAATTCCACCTGACTTTTCATGGTTCGTTTCTAACCAGTGCCGTTCAGTCTACACTATACACTGAACCTGGAAGTTCAGACCGTATGATAGTCAAGTCAACCTTATATGATTATCACAGGAAGGCTTGTCTCTTCTTATAACCGGGATAATCAGTGATTTTCACCTGTACCAAACATTACCGATTATCTTAGTTAACCCAGATAAAATTTCGTCACCACCATTGTTAAAAATCTCTGAAAAGTCGTTGCATCAGGTTCAGCTGCCTTGCATATTTTCAGATTAGAAACAGCTTTTCCAAGCTCACTTTTATTTGGAGGCCCGACGTCTAAATACCTCTCAGTTAGGTTTCGGATGTTTATCGAACTGAGTTTGACGGTAGGCCAGTCTTCTATCTTGAGAGACAGTTAAGACGACGTTCTCCTCACAGTTAGTCTCACCCATCATTTGTCTCTCACAACCAGTTTCTTTGATGAGCCCAAAAAACTGTCTGCAAGCTCGGCCATCATGTCAAGGTAGCAGGCATCGGTCGGGAATTCCTCATTTCATCACGCTCCAACAGACTCTGGAATATGCAGATGCTTACTAGCGTCTAACTATTGCCGTACTTTCCTACCTAGAGGTGGCATTCCTTCTTGTGAAATGTAAGATGGCATAGGATTAGGTTGGGAAAGATTTAGAAGTGGTCAAATCAAAACATGGCATCAATCCATGCAGTATTTGACTGTTTGCTGGCGGTACGCGGGAAGGTTCATACTACCTTGTGGGGCTCTCGAGATTTCAAGGATCAATAGCTGGAGACCATCAGTGACGTGGCTCAAAACCGTTCTCAACAGTGGTGATGCAGTCACTTTTTATGACGTCCCAGTTCCTCGTGTTTCTCTACTTAATTATTCCTTAAACCGTAGATTTCTGTTCATTATGGTCCTATTCTGCTGGAGACAGAACTTAACCGAAAACACCACCATGCTGTATAGCATTGTGCCAAAAATATCACTTAAATAACTGAAATACCAGCAAACCACAACAGCAGGTATTAATCTCCATCCACTGAAAATATATTTACATATTCAACCAAAACAAGATAAAATTTCAAGGTCAAAGGAAGCAAACCAAGGAACGAGAAGTTTGCAATTGATTATTGGAATCGAATATCATGTCTGAGAATGCTTCCATTCATTTAAAGAAGGGAAACAAAATAAACACTTTTAGGAATAAGGCATAGAAAGACTCCAGCGTATTTGAATGGTCAATATATCATTGAAAAAAGCATTCAATACTTGAGTGACTAATTGATGTACATATTAAATTATCCTCTTGGTAGAATGTACTCTGCAGAAGTCAAATGATTTGTACTTTATCTGGAGAACTGTCGTGCATCTTCAACTGTCTTCATCCATTTGTGTCTGTAGAAAAAGAAGCAAAACATAACGTTCAGCGACTACATATAAGTAGGGAATAACATATCCCACTTATTTGTGCTAGTCAGTGGCGCAGTGAGCTTCTAGCCTGGTAAAAGCAGAGATAGTTTATCTATTATGGTTAATCCAGTGATTAACGCACTTGACGTTCCTGTTTCCTTCAGTTGAAACATCATGCTATTACAACAATAAGCTACAAGATCAACAGTTACATTAATCCCTTCGAAAAAAATTAATAAATAACATAGGACAACTCATCCACGTTGTATATCTTGCAAACACAATTAATGTATTGGGCCTAGAGATCCAGAGTATTTCTTAATGGAATTTGAAGACATGAGTAGACGGTAGCTTGTCCAACAGTACAATCACCACTGTGTACTTCCTTAACTTTTTGGCTAAATCAATTCTAAATTATTAGAAATAATTAAATGGCACACAAAATGTTTTTGTAAGACATGAGAATACAATCCGGTAACCCAAACAAAAGTAAGCAGTGTCGAAACAGGTGGTTTCGAAGTCACTAAGAAACTAGTGATTATTGTGATTCATCTCAACTTAGTTTAGAAGATTAAAAATCTTGCACTGAGTAGCTGGGTCGCAAGACAACTTTTGACAATGTTTCTAAAACAATCTAATCATTAGGAATTAGAAGTCCGAGTGTTTATCACATTTCATTATTGATTCTCTGCTTCGGCATATGCAAGTACAGGATGGTAGGATAATCCGATGAAAAATTACGTGAGTATAATTGTGGTGAGAGCTGGCTGCTAGCCAGATTGGTATACAGTAATTGACGTCAATGTTTATGTCCCAAATATTAGTCATGGGAAAACAAGAACAAAGACTGATAGCAGACTGTGCGTAGGCGGATACAATTAACAGATAGATGATCTGACATTGAAGAGATAGATGAAAGATGAAGTTTTAGTGAGAAACAACCAATCAGAAGACTGTGTTTGTCTGCTAATAATAATGTACACGAAAATCTATAAATATGTGTTGATTTCCACAATAAACGATCTGTTGCCTGACTCTTGCCTTCTGTCGTTACGTAATGACGATAATTAGAATGGAAATTATGAACAGCATCAACAAGTATATCTGTAGGGTCGATAGTTGCTTTGATACTCGCAGATATACTTGGAATTACATTTGAGTTTTGACTACTCCATAACTTTTCAAATCCATCATTATTCAATTGCCAGTCAACGATATCCCAGGGTAGTGGTTCACCATATCCTGCTGACGGTGCATAGCTAGCAAATGCTGTTGGTGTTAAACGTGAATCACCTTTGTTCAAGTCTATTCCAGTTGAATCATCTGCTGCTCTGAAATCAACTGGTGGCTTTGTAGTAAACATAAAATCGTCATTCAGCCAGTTCGAATTGTTCGAAGGAACATCAAATACAAGGCGAGGTGGATGACTACAAAGATAAAAAATACACGTAAGAATATGCGATTGGAGGTAGAAATGTATAAATAACAAAAGGAGACAGGATGTTTGGATAACAAAATCTTGTGGGATCATAATTAATGTGACGAGTAATTGTTTATGCAATCAGGTCCACTTCATCGTCGATTTTCTCCGTAATTATGATGCTACTTTGTTTGAGTTTAATCCGTCCCCCTGTTTATTATTATTATTATAATTATTATTATTGTATCCTTTAATTCCTAGAGGAACATAGGGCTTCAGCCATGCGTCTCCATTGCGTTCGGTTCTCTGCTGTAGTTTTCACCTGGCTCCAAGTCTGCCCACACGTTTTCATCTCCCCTTCACATGACCTCCTCCAAGTCACCCTTGCACTGACGACCAACTCGCCGCTTCCCTTTCGGGTTCCAC